GTAACTTCAGTTCCAGGGGATCCAACATCCTCTTCTGACCTTGGTGGGCACTGCAGGCCATGGGTGCACTTATAAACATGCAGGCAATTCACTCATATACATAAAATAAAAATAATAAATAAAATACTTAATAAATCTTAAAAAAAATTCCTGTCTCAAAAAGTTTGCATCCATATCCAGGAAGAATATCAGTCTGTATGTTTTTTGCTTGTAATATCTTTGCTGTGATCTCACAGCAGAGTTTAAGTTGGTTTCATCAAATCCTTTAGGTATTACCTTTATTTAATCTCTGAGAGTCTACATAGAACTGTAATTTTATTTTCTTCTTTAAACGATTAATAGAATTAGTGACAAAGACATCTGTGCCTTGAGGGCTTTTTGGAATTGAACTGTTTTTTTTGTTTGTTTGTTTTGTTTTTTTGTCTTTTTGAAGCAGGGTCTCCCTGTAGCCCCAGCTGTCCCTGAACTCATTATGTAGACCAGGCTGGCCTTGAACTCACAGAGATCTGCCTGCCTCTGTAGCCCAAGTGCTGGGATTACAGGTATGTGCCAGAGTTGAACTGTTTTAAATTACAAACTCAACTCCTGGGGTAGAGAGATGGCTCAGCAGTTAAGAGTACTTGCTGTTCTTGCACAGGACCCAGGTTCAATTCCCAGCACCCACATGGTTACCATTAGTAATGCTGGTTCCAAGGGATCTGATGCCATCTTCTGGCTTCTTGGGAATTGCACACACAGTGCACTTATATCCATGTAGACAAAACACTCATACACATAATACAGAAAAAACAACCCCCTCAACTCAACTATGTAATAAATATGGGTTTACTTAATATTTCTACTTCACCTTATGTCAGTTTCAGTAAATGTCATCAAGTTCCTTAATTTGTTGACAAGGTTTTTATTGTATCTCTGTTACTTTTTTTTTTATTTAATATTTTACTTATTATTTTTATTTTATGTGTATGAGTGTATTGCCTGGCATGCATATAAAAACACCTGTGTCCTGAAATGCCCATGGAGGTCAGAACAGGGTATCAGATACCCTGGAACTGGAGTTACAGATGGTTAGCTGTCTCCATGTGGGTGCTGGGAATCAAACCTGGGTCCTCTGCAAGAGCAGTCAGTGCTCTTAACTGCTGAGCCATCTCTCCAGCCCGTCTGTTACTCTTTTAATATATGTTAGGTCTGTGACTTCACCTTCTTACTTGCAATGTTGGTAATTTATGCTTTCACTTTTTCCTTGATGAATCTTTATTAATATTCTTAAAGAACCCCCATTATACTTCCATTTTTTCCCCCTTTACTGCTTGTTTCCTATTTTACTAATGTCCTATTTTTTTATTTGGTGTTTAATTTTTTTCTTTTCTAACTCTTAAGACGGAAACTTCACTGATTCCACATGGAGACATCAGAAAGAAAACTGACAAAGTGAACTGAACTGATATATACTGTCCTATATCATACCAAATTATACTACAGACAATACGCTCAACTCCAATGTCTAATTGTCACCTAAATATCTTAAGTTGGTTGTCTCCTATGCATTTCAAATTGAACATATGCAAATTAGGCTCCTGATCTCAGTCAAAACTTCCCTATCCACCTCACAAAATGCTACATCCAGAGCTTTCTTGTTTCAGTTGATAGTAATTCATTCCAGGTTAAAATTTTTTTAAAGCTAAGTCTAGCAGGGCATGGTGGCACAGGTCTCTGTGTGATTGAGGCCAACCTGGTCTGCATCGCAAGTTCCAAGCCAGCTAGAGCTACTAGGAAGACCTTGTCTCACCAAAACTAACAAAAAGGGCAACATCTAATTCATAATATGTCAGTTCTGCCTTTAAATACTCCAAGAATCTAAACTATTTTACTTCTTACCATTCTACTGCTACTACTGTGATCTGAACTACAGTAATTCACTGTTTAGATTTCTGCCACCTCCCTCATGGATCTTCGTGGCTCTATCCTTGTTCCCCTTTAGACCTGTCTCAATGCAGTAATCAGAGTGACCTAATAAAACATAGAGAAGATTGCATCTATCATTCTTGTCACTGATATCTGCTAAAAGCTAAGTCTAATAAGCTTAGGAAGCCATTCAGTCTGTTTCTTCATCTCTGTTTGCTCCTCTATAACCTCATCTCTCACTGTTCCCATCCTTCTTACCTCTCTACCCTAGTCAGCATAGGGTTCCTTGCTCCTTGCCATTCTCCTAAACCATGCCAGAATGGTTCCATACTCCCAATAATCTCTGTTCCAGTTGCTAGAAATTATCTTCACCAAACTATCTGCTCAGGGAACTCCCTCACATCCTACAAGTCTTTGTGCAAATTTCCTTTCTACTGAGGACTGTTCCAATCAACCAATATAACACCACAACTGTCCTAATTCTCAACTTTATAAATTTTGATCTCCTTTACCCTTTATCCTGCTTCCCTCCCACACCCCCGCCCTGCTTTTTGAGATGGGGATCACACATTGCCCAAGCTGGCCTTGAACTCCGATCCTCCTGCCTTCATCCCCCAAGTTCTGAGACAGCAGGTATAGGTCACCTCTTCCTAGCACCTTTATTTTTCTTCTAATTCTAATAGTAATGTACTATGTTGCTATGTTTAATATGATTATTTTCTTCCTCAATAGGACACAGGTACCTTCTTATATTTGATCTGCAAATATATCTCCTATGCTAAGAATAGCTGGTATTTTGCAGAGAATCAACACACAGCTACTGAATGAATACCAGTAGTCTGGACACTTAAAAGAACTGTATAATTAACAGAAAATATGCTACACTGGCTAAAAACTTGTCTTTCTCACTAACTTTTGTTTACTAAAAAGGTCTTTTAAATAATGAGAAAACATGAAAAACATACAAATGGAGGAAAAACCCCAAGTTCCTGTGGAAAATGAATACAGTAACTCTCTTTTCAGTGAGTGGAATGATTTCTTATAATGAAAGTGAAGATCTGTTTGGCAAACACAAGTATGTGTACTTTAACTCCAAAACAGATGGTTGCAATGTAATACGGTTTAAAAGTTAAACCTATTTGCACATTTTTGAACAAAATTATAATCCTGTAGACCAGTAATCTTCAGTATTTCCATTTGCTGTTAAACATGCAGACAGGAAAATCCTGAGTGAGGGTGATTCTGATGTTAATACACAAGCATCACCTTACTAACTTCTAGGGCTAAACAACTCTTGCTTAAGCTTTTAGGCAATTATACAAACCAAAATGCTATGGTTCAAAAAGAAGAAATTAGAAACCAGCTACTAAAATTTTTTAAAATGGCTATGTTTGAATTTGAATCTCCCTGTCCTGATTTTTCCCATCAGCTTTAAGAACAAACTTTGACTTAGTTACAGATCACACAACTGAAACTATTTACTTTGAAATATTTTATTTTGGTCTGTTTTATTAAATAAATATTTTATTTACTTTTGTTTTTGTTTGTTTGTTTTTTGTTTTTTTTGAGACAGGGTCTACTGTAGCCCCAGCTGTCCTGGAACTTACTATGTAGACCAGGCTGGCCTTGAACTCAGAGAGATCCGCCTGCCTCTGCCTCCCGAGTGCTGGGATTAAAGGTGTGCGTCACCACACCCGGCCTAAATATTTTATTTTTTTAAGTGCAAAATAAATGTGCCCAGTTACGGTCAATCATTTTATACAAAACGGGGAAAAATTATAAGGAAATCTAATTTTACACTAATGTATTTCTCACAACCATAGTTTTTTTCTAAGCAAAACTGCAATAATTTCCCATATTTATCAAAATTATATATAATAAATGAACTCGGTCTCACAGACAATTGTCTGTTCCCAAACAGAACAGTCTAAAGTGCACTTTGCTAATTCTATACCTAGTGAAGGACCAACCAACCAACACTGAGTAAGAAAAATGGGACTTATTCTCACAGTAGGAAATGATGAAACAGAAATAGCTCTTTGTTTTGGTGTAGAAGATGAAGGTTTTATTGCTCTGAAAGTACAATGAACCTGGTGCCTGAAAGGGATCTGGCACTAAATTAAATAGCTATGTCAAGTCTGAAGAGAGGAAAAGGCACTGCTTGGTGTTGCTAGTACAAAGCAAAGCAAAGCAACAACTACCAAGGAAATAGATGTAAGGGATAGAGACTCAATTCATCAGCACCAATTTTGTGAGAAGAAAGAATCCCAGTTCAGATGCTGCCAGAAAAGGGAAAATGGATCCCAGTTCAGATGCTGCCGGATGAATGAGGCTGGCTACCAAAAGGAAGAAATGACACAGGAAGCTCTGACATTAGTGTAAAGAGAGGCTATAAGACTATGAGACTCATTGCAGACATATTCACATACTGGATGAGCAAATATGCCCTTAAGATATGAAATCTTTAGAAACAGTTGTTCCTTCCTCATATACAAAACTGTAAGAAGTTATGGCCAGATACTCATTTCTCAAGCTTAGGAATTGGTGAATGAAGTCCTGTAGTCAAGCTACACTACTACAACGATCTTAAAAACAAAACTAGGGGTACAAGCATGCCATTCCCACCAACCACTCTTCATTTTCTCCCCCATAGGGGGAAGGTTAATCTTCTCTTGAAAGTTGGTAAACATTAACAGAAAAGTTTATATTGGACTATTATATAATCCTTGATGGGGTATGGAAAAATAAACTTTTAGACCGAAGAATTCTTTTCTGAATGGATTAGGGTTTTCCATATAACTTGAATCTTAAATTCTCACAATGTCTACTCAATTTCTTTCTTTTTCTTTCCTTTTGTGGGTGGAGGGGTATTTTGAGACAAGGTTTTACCTTGTTACCCAGGTTAGCATTGAACTCATGAGCCTCCTGTCGCAACGTCCCTAGTGGTATGCACCACATGTCTGGCTCTGCCTGTTCAATCTTTATTTCACCTGCATTGTGACATCATATTTTCTTCATTTTTCCATTAAGAACCCAATCTAGAAAGACATTTTTTAAAAACTTAATTTCTGAATTTTACTACCACCTTCTTTTACCTCTTTTGTCTCCTCCGGGTCTGAATGATCCACAGTTATATAAAGATCATTTTGTAAATATTTCAGAGCACTAAGGGGATCCATTTGGGCCTTTTCTTCAAACCTAAAAATATAAAACAAGGAAAATAATTACTTTGAGTTATCAGAAATATCTTTAAGACCTGAAGTAAGATATACTCATTATTTTGGATATGTAAAAAGATTTTTGTTTGAGAATCCTTAAGAATACTCCCGAAAGACCCACCGCAGACCTCTCTCCTACCAGCAGGCCTCTCTCCAGGGAAAGTCCATCGGGCCCTCCAAGCCTTACTCCCCCAGGGTCATTCACTCTCCCACCTCCCTGGCCTTTCTCTCCTCATAGTTTGGGTAATGTCCCATTCCTTGTTTTGGGGACCCAGACACCTTGGGAACAAATACTGCTTCCTGATCCTTTTCATCCAGACCAACTTGGTGCCTTTTCTGGGCTCCAGGAGCACTCTGGGCCTGGCCCCGCAATCACCTCCATCTGCTTCCCTGGGCCTGCATGACACACCAGCCTCTTTCCTGGACTCTGGGGCTGACACTTCCTCTTCCTAATCCTTTGCATCCAGACCAACCCAGCTCCTCAGTGCAGTCCCCAGGAGCCCTTGGGGCCACTTCCCACCCCCATCTTCCTTTGCATCTCTGGGTAGCATGGCCACCAGCTGCCCAAGACCAGCATCTTTCCTGGGCCCGAATCCCAGGCCAGTCAAATGCCCAAATTTCTGAGGCGAAAATCTTTCCTAAAGGGATCCAGACCTTAGGAGAAAGCCTGAGAGCATATGATCCTCATCTGACTTGGGCCTCTGTGAGAACTCCCGAAGACAAAAGGAATCTGGCCACTCCAGTATAATCAAAAGAGAGAACCGGAAGCTTAGAGGAACCAGCTTTTCATGCCCAAAAAGTAAACCTCAAAGACACATAAAGTTCACAAAAAGAACCAGACCTAAACTTGAAGGCCTGAATCTCACACAAGAATCAGAAACTACAAAAGAAATTCACATCTCAAAATCAGAGAAAAAATGATAACATGAAAAACCAAAATAACATATCCCCACCAAATATCAATAGTCCTCGAGAGGAGTAGAATGAGAACCGCCCAGAGATAATGCAGGACACAGAACTCAAAAGAACAATTATAAACATGACAAACTCAATGAATTTAAAGAACACACAGAAAAAGAAATCAAATAACTGAAGGAAGACAGGGATAAACTTCTGAAGGAATTCAGAAAAGAGAAATATTGAGAAATACTCAGGCTGAAAAGAAGGAAGTGAAACACTCAGTAAGCCAATTAGAAATGACAGGAGAAAGCCTCACCAATAGGATGAACGAAATGGAAAA